TTACTTCGTGCATACTTGGCACAACTATCGGAACTGTTCTACATCGAGCACATACATCCAAACTGAAATCGGATGAATTGTATAAGAAATATATCCACTAATCTTCCTTGACGACTTTTGAAACATTCTATATTTCAATTGATATTTTCATCTGATATAAAGTCAAATAAATAATTACAAAAAGGTATGTCTTATATATAGTCTGATGAAAGACCTATTCGTTGAACATTAACAATTGAATTTGATATTTATTATCATATTAAAAGAGAACATTTTCTTATCTAATATAATCGATTTATTAAATCAATATCGTTGTTTCTATTATAGCGAGAGAAAAAAAGAACGGTGAATAAATTAAAAAAAAAGAAATGACAATAGACAGTTGAATCGAATATGAAAGAGATAAAAAAAAGAAGAAGACACATATCGAAAACAAACTATTATAATCTTCTTGGAATCAAAGTCTTGTTAATTATAATAAAATAATATTTAATCAAATGTTACCCATAAAAAGACGGCCAGCAAAACAAAGCCACCACCAAAGTTTGAAAAATATGTAAATGTTTTTATATTATTTGAAATAAGAATAGTTGTTTTTTTTCTTTTTACTGTAAATAATTTGCCGGTTTCGGGATCAATACTCGATCAGCCATACGATCATTACATTCTTTAATTATTCAACATATTTTATTTCATTATTTTATCTAAAATCCTCACTTTGAACGTATTGTTAAAAGGTCAATACAATAACAAAAAAAATAAATTATATATAACTAATAACTTCATCATGTATTGACTTTGTAAACATTGTATGTAGAGGTGTAGGCCGTGTGGCTCAGCCACCGTCGCTGGCGAAGGCATCGACTTACACCTCTAATTGTATGGAGTGGAAAATCTGCATTACCAAGAATAGGAAATATTGATATAGCTACGCTTTATATCAGTATATTTTAATTTAGATTAAAGTAATAAAACGATATTTGAATTTCAATCGTTTAGTGTTGTACAATCCTTTCAAATATTAACTTAAATGGTAATCTCTTTTATTTATAAATAAAACCCTGTTGAAAGATATTCATCGGTATTAATATTAAGTAAAGAAATATTATATAATATAGTTATTGTCGAACATGATATAACTTTTTTTGTTGTGTTATGGCATCTATTGAAAAGTCTCTCAGTTATGTAACGCATAAAAATTTTGTTGGTTTGTTTATAATCCTTATTTTATCTTGTCGTTTGTATGTATCTTTTTTTCATTATTGTTGAAAATTTTTTTTGAATTGAAAGTGTCATTAATAAATTCAATTGGTATTCCATTTCTATGGCCAAATATTAATGTGCTTACTTTTGATAAATGAACTTTTTATGGTTTATGGTTATGATTTATTAAATCATTATCTTGTTCTTCAATCTTTAATTTACTTAAATAATATTTCAAATAATTGTGTTCATCTTTCATGATCACCAACATAGCCTATTAAAAGATTAATTTGTTAATCAAGATGAAACTATTTTGTATGTTTTAGTTGCTAAAATTGCTTATATTCTCTTATTTACCACAATCAAATATTTCTATACCTAAAAATTCACATTCAAAAGATTTTTGTTTTTTATCATTTAACAAAAAAAAACAAAGAAAGAAAATTGATTTTTAATTAATAATTTTAGGATCTTATGTTTGTCCAATAATACGAGTATCTCTATCTGTATCATCTTCAAATGCAATGAATTATTGATTAATAGATTTTGTTTGGTTAACTTAAAATAAATTTTTCATTGTTTATTCAATTCCATCATTATCTGAATGTCATCTATATACAATTCGATCATTAAAATATGATGGAATTGAACATTTTCAGTTCGATTATCGTTATCAAACAAATATAGAACATTAAATAAAAAAATTTTACTTCATCAATCATCAGATATAATAAATTAAATGTAACAAAAAGAAAAGAAAAAAGATCTTGAATTAATTTTATTAGTTGTAATGAAAACTGTTGGAGATATTTTTATTTTAAAAATAGATGAAAATGAAGTTTTGTCTGAAAATAATATATCTAGAGAATTTCATAAGATCCATCTTCGTATTCTTCCATCAACATTTGACAACTATGGTAGTGATCATAGTCAATTCACATTTATTTGTTTATTAAATTTAAATTGTTGTTTTTGTTTTGTATCTACACGTGATAAATATCAATTTAATCAATGTATTATTTTATCATCATCATTAAATCAATATTATTTATTTACAATTAATTTAATTTCTTTACCAATAAATCAAAATGGATCAATTTTAATATTAATTATTCAACATTCGTTTTATTGAAATAAATATTTTATATCAGATTCAATTACTAATCTTTATTGAATTGAAATTTCATGGATTAATCAAATCCAACAATGATTATGAATTACCACCAGGACGAGATTTTCGTGGAGCTATTTGCTTCAAAACATCATGTATATTAAAAATCTGATTTTGCTTTGAAGATTTTTCATTTTTATTCTAATTTAATTGGAAGAATTAGATCAGCTTGACCA